TAGGGCCTCGATCTTGTCCGCAAGTGGACGGATGCCTTGCGGCGTCACATAGTGTCCCAAGTACTCCAGCTCCTGCTGTGCGAACTCGCACTTGTTGCGGTTTGCTTTGTACTTGGCTTGTCGTAGCCGCTGCAAAACGGTGCGCAGGTGTTCCACATGCTCGTCCAAACTCCGACTATACACCAAGATGTCGTCGAGGTAGATGAGTACAAACCGATCCAGCATGTGTTGGAACTCCGTTGTCATAGCCGCTTGGAAGGTGGCTGGGGCATTCGTAAGGCCAAACGGTATGACCAGCCATTCGAAATGCCCATACCGTGTCTTGAACACGGTCTTGTAGCGATCCTCCTTGCGAATCTCGAGTTGGTGGTACCCTGACTTGAGATCCAGCTAAGAGAAGAACTGGGCGCCGCCCAATCGCTCAAGAAGGTCGTCGATGCGTGGGAGAGGGYCGGCGTTCCTGATCGTCTGCGCGTTGAGCTTGCGATAATCGATGCACAACCGCAGGTCCTTGTTCTTCTTCCGGACGAAGAGAACAGGAGCACCGTATGGCGATGAGCTGGGCCGAATCCAGCCTTTCTCTAGAAGGTCGTCGAGTTGTGCCCGAAGCACACTTAACTCTTCCTCGCTCATTCGGTAGATGCAACCGCGCGGAGGTACGACCTTGTCCTCGAGGATGATATCGTGGCGGATGGGTCGATCCGGTACTACTCTGTGCGGGCCTTCGAACACGTCGCTGTAGGCGTCGAGAAGTTCGGTGACGCGTGCATCCGAAGGTGAGTCCGTCGATGAAGCGTCATGGGGCGGGAGGGCGTGGAGAAAACACAACCCCATCTCCTCGATGTCGTCTTTGATGATGGAAGCTCGCATGCTTGCGGTGGATACCACGTGGCAGCTGATCGAAGGATGAGGAAGAGGCACCGTGCATGGAACTAATACCCCGTTCCGATCACGAACGTGAACGGTGCGGTTGAAGAAGTTCACCGGGTGATCCTTGCTTCGCAGCCATGACATGCCCAAGATCATGTCGAATTTGGTGTCCAGAATGTCAAAGGACACCGCCTCACTTGCGTGAGGGGCAACGTACATTGGGACGTCGTCAATGCACCGGTCGATTGATTTGTGCGTGTGACCGTCCGCCAATGTGACTTGCGTAGGCTGGGCCTTCCTTCGGACGCGTGGGCCAAGGCCGGCACCATGAAGTTCTGGCTGATGTAGTTGCGAGATGCTCCACAATCGATCAAGGCACTGCAGGTCGCCTCTCCGATCTGAATGCGTACGTATAGCAATAGTGCGTCGATGTCATCGTACCGTTGCGTCTTGAACTCGCGGTCGATCTTCGCGATGTAAACGTGAAGGTCGACAACCTCTGCTCCGGCGTCCATCAACGGAGCTGGTACTGCAGTGTGCAAGTAGTCCCGCAGTTGTGCCATGAGCACATTGCAATGCGGTTTCGGCAATCGCCCGGTCGAGGGAACGGGCATCCACTGGAAGTCCGTGAACGTCAATGGTTCGAGCTCTTCAAGTCTTGACCATGACGTCGAATCCCCGGCGATAGATTGCGGCGAAGCTGCCGAATCGGTTGCCGATGGTGATGAAACCGTGCATGCGGTGGACTGTTACACGTGGAGCGGTTGGTTCAGCTGTGGAACCAAGTGGACAGCATAATCCTCGTAAGTATACCGAGGACTTGCGACATTCGCATCCTCCCCAGATGTGCAGGAGGCCGCTAGCAAGGCGGCCGAATCTGGCGGAGTAGAAGGTGGAGTCGCCTCACCTTYCGCGGAGCTCAGTTTCCCGAGCTGAGGCGGGGTCGCACATCCTCCTTGCCCTGATCTTGGCACAGGGAGGTCTTGTGCTTGGTGCTGTTGCACCAGTAGCAGCTGTCGTAGCGGCCCCGGACCTTGTACTCCGCCTCGGTCAAGCCAAACTTGACCCATGGAACTTGTACTGGCTGTCCATTTCCGGCCTGCGATGCGGATTTCGCCTTCCCATTGTTGCGGGACTTGTTGCTTCGCGGCTGGACAGCAGCCACCTGATCTCCGTCACTTGATGCTGGAGTGGCTGCTGGGTTATCTCCACTGTCCTGCTGGACTGCAGCGAAGTGCTGCTGTCACGGACCAGTTCGTACCTTCTCCACATAGGTCGGCTGCCATGGTGACTTCTTGTGTGCAGCTGACCTGTTGGTCTTGATGATCTCCCTCGCCTTGTCAATGATTTCAGCGAAGGTTGAGTACTGCTCGCGATCGCCAAGAGCCTGGCTCAATGCCGCACAGGATCTGTTGTAGAATTCACATCTGAGATGAGTGAAAGGCAGGTCCAAATTGGGCACTGCCGCAATCTTCTGCCACTCTGTGAGCCAGTCCCATGTTGCAGTGTTGCCCTGTGACATGGTGAACAGACGGTTGATGGCGAGTGCCGGCGCGTCGTCGACGATGAACCGCTTCTTCCACAGCCGTGTCAGTTCCTCCCATGTGATTTTGCCCTTCAAGTCTGGTACGTCGACGCCGTGGGAGGTTGCCAGGTGGCTCAACCAGGTCTGGCATCCGCCCTTTGAGTTCAGGAAGAGGGCGCCGATGTACGCATGCTTGGCTACGGGTAGAATCCTGAGTTGCGTTGTGAATGCTTCCCACCAGAGGACCGGATCCTGCTGCGTGTAGTCGTCGAACCTCTCCAGATTGAAAGTTGGCATCTCATACATCTTCGGGTTGCCATCCTCGTTCGTCGTCTGCAGCTGCTGGACCTTGGTCTTCAATGTATGCAGCTGACTGCTGATGGTGGTGGTCAGCGCAACGAAAGTGCTGATGTCGCCGAGCATTGCCACTACGTGGTCAACGCGGTCCTTCAGTTGGCGGCTAGAGGGTGCACTGATGGAAGCCCAAGCAGCTGGTCCGGGTACAGCCTGTTCCAGGTCGAGCAATCGGGCATTGAGTGCCCGAGTTGCATCCTCGTGGCTCTGCACCATGCGGCGGAGCTTTGGCAACTCCTGATGCTGTTGCGTCAGGTCCTGGTACTGTCTCTCCAACTCTGGCCGTTGGTAGTTGCAAGCGTACAACAACCTTGTCACGAGTTTGGAGAGGAACTCCTTGTGCTTCTCTTCCGGTGTTGCCTCGTCGCCGTTCGGTTCAAAATGCCAGAACTTGAGTCTGTCGATGCTGTTGGCTTCATGCCGCTGCAGCAGATCCTGGGCTTCCTTGCGGCGAGCCTGGGCATCTGCGTCTGCATCGGCCTGTAGCTGCAGTTGCTCTGCTGCTGCTGCCTCTTCAGCCTGTACGCAGGCAGCCTCGGTTGCCAGCTGGCGTTGTTCCTCAGCCTCTATCTGAGCCTGGAACGCTGCTTGTAGGCTGCAAGAGACTCGTTGGGCAGTTGGCCTGGCAGGCCCGTCATGTTGCTGACGTGGCATTGCTACTTACGTGGCACTGCTGATGTGGCACTGCTGACGTGGCCTTGTGTCTGACGTGGTACTGCTGACGTGGCACTGTTGACGTGGCACTGTGTCTGACGTGGCACTGTTGTCGTGGCACTATGTCTGACGTGGCATTGTGACCTGGCACGGCTAACGTGGCACTGCTGATCTGGCACTGTGACGTGGCACTGCTGATCTGGCACTGTGACGTGGCACTGCTGACGTGGCACTGCTGACGTGGCACTGCTGACGTGGCACTACTGAACCGGGATGCATGCAAGGGGTGGGTGGGAGGAAAAACGGAGGTAGGTAACCAACCCAACAATCTTTCCTCCGGCCCTAATCAACAGATAAAAAATAAAATAAAAATAAAAGAGGACTACTTCCTTTTTTTTTTTTTGTATATATCTGTCGATCTATGGTGAGTAGGATATGTCAGAAGAGTATTATGAACGAGATCTAGGCTAGGTTCCGCAAAGTTTTGGCTTTTACACACTGCGATCTTGAATTTTTTTTTGCGAAATGGAGTAAAGATGCGATTTTCAGAAAAGAACGAAATCCATTTTCTGAGAATATAGCAACCTCCGAATATGCCTAACGCAATATTGGTAGGCTTCGCAAGATTCGACTTTCAAAAAAAAATTTGCGAGATAGAATGGAAATGCGATTTTCAGAAAAGAATAATTTCAGTTTCCGAGAATATGACCACTTCTATCGCTATCCCAATATGCCTAGAGAACAAAAATACTAACTTCAGAAATTTCAGCTATGTATGCGAAATATCAGAGAAACGAAATGCTACTATCGGGAATTTTTAGACAAAACGAAATGCGATTTATCAGAAATTTTCAGATATTTGTTACGTAAAAAGGAACTACTAATATCAGAAATTTTCAGATAGAACGAAATGCGAATATCAGAAATTTTCAGATAGTTGTTGCGAGAAAAAATTTTCAGAGATTTGACTAAGTCCTACTTGCGTTACTAATGAGTGATCAATAGATCGCAAGCTGGCTACTTGATTGAGCGGGTCCTCTGAATGAGAGGTCCGCTCCGATACCAAACTGTTGCATACTGTAACGTGCAGACCAGAACAAGAACCGATCTTTCAATACAAAGTATAAGATAGCACAACGGAGACTTAGATACCAGTGATCCGAACAATCAATATTGCAATGCAGCCCTGAACACACATCATCATCATCGTTACATGGTGTGAAATGGGCCTGGCGCTTCACACAGAAAGACTGCGCCAGCCCATACGATACACAAACGAAGAGGAAGGGGATAGACGAAGAGGAGGGGAAAGATGGGAATGTCGTCAACACCAAGTCTTCGGCACAAGCCCAAGTAGTCCCTCGTCGAAATGTCTGAATCCGAAATGTCAAGTCTGGATCCAATGTCGTCAAGTCTCAAGTCACAACTCTGTCTCTCTCTGTCGTAGTCTGAGAAGTCAGGTGGCGAGAGGGTGAGAAGAGAWGGTGGACTTAGAGGAAGAAGAAGAACTCTCTCTCTCTCTGTGTCCAGTACTAACATGTGAAGTTGGCGCCTTGATGCAGGTACCACGAAGATGGAGCTGGAGCGATGGCGCCACAGGTAAGTCCCACTGGCCTCTGCCAGTATCTCTCCCACTCTACGATCTACCACCTACCATAGCGCCCAGCCCTGAAGACTAGCACTAAGGCTATGGGCGCCCAGCGCCGAAGACTACAGCTACAGCTATGGCGCCCAGCGCCGAAGACTACAGCTAGCACTAATACTACCTAGCGCTGAAGACTACTGCAGCGCTCCTCCTGAGTGCTGTGGCCGAAATCCTGAAGACTACCTCGTGCCTACTGAACTACCTGCCCGTGAAGTGCATGGGAACTTCCTATGTACTACCGGGTGTGCCTCCTGAGCCTGCCGAAGGGAGGCAGGGGCTGCAACTGCAGCTCCTGCTCAAACTCGTGAGGAATAGGCTATTTCTGGCCTGTTCCGCGTCCCTGTTTCCGTGTGTGAGTCTTAGGGGCAGGTCGAAACAATGAGGGCCTGAAAATGGCYCTCCGTTTCAGGCTGAAAACTCTGGGTCTGAAAAGACCCAGAAATAGGCTGAAACGGGGTAGGGCCTGTAGGCCCTCGTTTTTCAGCTTTCAGGCTGAAACGACCGGGGCCTGTAAGCCCTAAGTTTTAGGCTCTTAGGCTGAATGTCCGGGCGAGCTGCAGTGAGATGGAGCCCTAAGTTTTAGGCTACGCAGTATGCCACAGCTACAGTCATGGCGTCCGTGCGAGCTGCAGTGAGATGGAGCCTCCCTCCCCCAAATCCGTGGAGAAGTAGGTGAGTAAGAGAAAGAGTGAGAGAGACTGCGCAGATTAAGAGTGAGAATGTGCAGAGAGAGAGAGAGAGGGAGAGGGACTGACTGCGCAGAGAGAGTGAGAGGATCAGACTGCGCAGCGTGCTCGAGAGTGAGAGAGAAAGACTGCGGACAGAGGGAGTGAGAGAGACTGACTGCACAGCGATGGATAGGGTGAGTGGAAGAGCAGAGAGAGAGAGAGAGCTGAAAGCCTCTTGCTGCATCAGCCTGTAAACGCTGCGGGGTTTGTTTTATCTCTTTTACAAATGCAGTAGGCCTGTTGACGCAGCTTAATTGCGCTTGATTGCTTGCTTGATTGCTTGCTTGATTGCTCGCTTGTTGATTGCTTGCTTGATTGCCCGCTCACCGTGGCATTTGAAGCTGTTCCAGGACGGCTGATCCGGCTTGGGGTTTGAGAGGAGAATGTACTACAATCCTGGGTGCGCTGGATGCCCTTT